CCTCAACACCAATGTCGTTCTTGTCCTTAGGTCCAATCCTCAAGTACACTTACACACCAACTCCTACGTCTAACTCTAAACACCCGGTTCATGACACAAGATCTAACCGGTCCCTATACATGAGTCACATCAGAACCACTAGATACTACTGCTAGCTCCAAAACCCTAAGAAAACATACACACCGGTAAATAAGTCACACTTCACGTCGCATCGGTTACGATCTCTTGTAACAAATCCCACCAAATACTTCACCTCCTGCCGTGGAGGCAAGTCGAACGATTTAGATCAAACCCTCACTCGGGGTCCTTAATAAAAAAGGGAACACTATAAAAGTCTATCCGTCCGCTGACACATACAACTCCTATATGGAAATACAAAACTCACAAACAACAAAGTCCAAACAATAAGGAGGAAAAACAAGTCCCTCTCCTGAAACAGAACTGAACACACACCTATCGATAACTCACATACAAAATGCCAAGGAAGAGGAGCTACACAGAGGTGAAATAATTTAATTTGTAACTCATACACCTAGCGTCCATACGCAATAAAGAACAGTGCCCCTTCTAAAATGTTAGGGGCTAAACAATGAATCTTAGGACATCGCGTCCCATCTTGCCCAAAAAAGAACCTTATAACCAGAAATCTAGACCGTTCATTCACAGAAATAACTACGTAACGCCAACAACCACATCCAAAACCATCGCATAGGAGGTTAACTATTCATAAAATACACATGATTATCCAATAAAACTGTCTGTGAATACACACATAGTCATATAAATAAGTCATTGCCTTAATACTTAATGGTCACAATCGGTACAACTTTACAACATGAAACCCATACAAAACATCTTGAACTATATCCTGCCCAAAGGGCTCACATGCTAACCATCATCAGCATTACCCAAATTCAGAACCATATTACGGGACTTATCCACCATCATGGCATAAATAAACCAGATACTGTACAAACTCATGAGTAGCCCCCGTTACAACCAGAACAATGGTCCACAGGCATCTCCTGTTACACCAAATCTCACAGGTATCCCCCCGTTACAAAACTCACAGGAAACCCCCGTTACAAAACTCATAGGTAAACCTCGTTACAAAACAAGACTCACAGGTATCCCCCATTATGACACAACATACACACAACTCACTGGTAATGATACAACAAGACCCACAAATAACAATACGACATGACTCAAAGACAACAATACAACATGACTCACGGATAATAATACAACACGACTCACGGACAACAATACAATACGACTCACAGGTATCCCCCATTACAACATAACACGACTCATAGGTGTCCCCCGTTACAACACGACAAGACTCACAGGTGTCCCCCGTTACAACACGACACAACTCACAGCTTTCTGGTCGTGTTCAATATGCTACCAATAATAATCAACACTTGCAATAACATAAATCACTGTAAAATAGGGCTATCATAAGGGTAAGTCGAACCACAAGGACTGCAAGTTTATGGCAACCAAGGTCTTAAAATAACTTTGTTTGATGAAAGAGGTGTAAGGTTGGGTTTTGTTTGTCACTTAGAACTAGGAAATGTAATTTGCATAAAACTGTAAATGGAAGGAATTTAAGAGGAGAGGAACTTATGTAGAGATGGCTAGGGAAGTGAATCCACTACCAACCATATAAACATGCTAGCTTATGATTAACTTGGGGAAACAACATATATATATGGCCAAGATATATAGCAACACATGATTGCTACATTATCTTCAAGAAATTTATAAAATCAAGAAGTAAGCATAATCTATCAAAGTTTTACATGCTTGAACTACCTAAACTAAGGTGTACCCTTGACATACTCACTAAACTAGAGACTATCAAACCCCTCAATAAATATGGTAATGACACATGAAGTCAAAAACCAAGAATAATCCATCAAAGGGAGGCCTTAAGCTATGGAGTATCAAACTTCTCATACAACATGCCATGAAACCCATTTCATAATCTCATTTTCAGTCTCACTATGAAGATGCAAGCTATATAATTATGAGAAAATATGACCTAAGACAAGATAATAAACTCAACATAATCATTTACAGAAATTAAGATCCATTACAACTTATATAGAGTTCTAGATTGACTTTTCATCTACTAACCACCTATTTATAGAAAAACCCTAAAAGTGTCCCGAACGGAGTCCCGCCGAGTCAGGAAAAGTGGAATTTGAGTAGACACGCTCAAAAGGCTAAACACCATGAACGAAAAAAACCAAAATGAGATAAAATGAACAACGGAAGAAACGGTGTCGAAAATCGAGTCCCAAGCAGAAAGATATGTCCTAAATAAGTTTGGCGGCAACTAGGGTCAGAAACCCTAAAACTAGGGAAAAACGAGCAAAAGGAAATTCTTAGAGTACACGACTAGACAAAAAGTGAAAATGAATCCCGTACGAGGATCCAGGCTCAAAACGAGGCATTTTGCAATAACTTTCATTAATTGCACAATGGCCTCTAAAAAAAGTGATAACTGCAAAACTGACCCAGAATGAAAATATCTTCCAAAAAGATATTTTCTTAAAAACCCCTAAAATAAATATCTTCAAAAGATATTTATGAAAAACACCCCAAGAAATAAGAATATTTCTGGACACCGGTAGCAACCAGAGTACCTTTTTACAAAAGTAAAGATACGTTTTTTGTGGAAACCACATACAATGAAGATATGTGAAGTCAAAAACCAACTCTGAACATGAAAAGTGAGGTTATGCCAACAAAGTGACAAACGGGGAAAAAGACGAAAGTGAATAGTGATGAAAAAGTGAAAATGTGGAAATGACACAGCCCTTAAAGGAAGTTGTCAATCTAAAGGAAAAAGTCTCAGAAACTATTTTCGAACACTCAAGACGACACTAAGTGACGAGAAACTATACTCAAAAAGAAAAGACAACGAAAAAAAAAAAAAAAAGGAAGGAAAATGACCGAGTCATTACATCAGCACTCTGGCATTCCTCCCAACCATAAGCTTTCTTCGTTTGTTATCAACAACAACTAGAGCTTCCCATCTATGGTGATAGCGAATTTCCCTGAGCTCTTAACGCTTGGCCCTCAAACTGATGCCCATGACTCTACTATTTGAATCCTCTCTCTAACAGATACCTTCTCTGTAAGCCACACTATGTTTTGGCTAACATCGCACCATCAACACGTGTTCGATAGTACCACGGGGTTTTCGGGAAATTATTTGTGCTTCCTAGCCAACAAATTTTGACAACATTGTAATAAAAAATAGAAAAAGTACACATGGAGTATAACCTCTGATTTTTTTTTTTTCCAGATTTGGAGACACAAACCTTTATTAATATTACTCATTTAGGGGTCCTAAAAAACAAAATAGTCTATTTTTTTGGAGCTTAGGCCCATCTGTACATTCAACAATCATATATATATACAAATATTTTAATTTTTGAACAAAAAAAAAAAAAAATAACAGTTTTATCTTATAAATTTATACTTTAAATGCTTAGTAAGATTAACGTGTAATTTAAAAAATCCATATAATTTTAAAAATCTTATTAATCAAACGACAGTTTAGTTTCGGCAAGTATAATGCACAGATTTACTTTAACTAGCCCCGCAGTATCAAATTGACCTTATTATTTAGGGTTAATTACAATGACACCCCCTGAAATTTGATATAATAACAACCATATACAAATTGGCTCACTTTTGAACGATCATACCCCCTCAGGTTTGCTCCCTTCACAAAGACACCCCTTGAGTGTCTGACATATGGTAAAATGACCTCAATAACCTTTGACTTATGATGGGACACTGAAATTACCAATTTACCCATTCTGCATATCAACCACCTACCCACAGAGCCATCGCCGCCATCACCACCGCCTCATCTTTCCTCTCTTCAACCTCTTTCTTTTACACACACACACACACACACACACACACACACACACACACACACATACATTCATACAATTGCAATCCAATCCATTCCTACACTACCCAAACCATCCCCAAATTAATCACATTTTGTTTTTCCAAACTAGTTTTAATGGAAACCATCGCCCCGTTTGGCAACAAATGCGCCACCATTGCCAGCCTCCTCTCGGGTCGAACTGACAAGGCCATATATATATATCCACTGGAACTCCATTGACGAAGGAGATGTACTTAAATCAGCAGCCATTGAAGAGATTGGAGAGTGCGGGTTCTCCCCTTTTAGTTTCGGGTCTATATTTCAAACCGGGTATGATGTAAGTGAATCGAGCCTTCCGACAAAAACGCAAATGGATTTGGTGATGATGCAAAATCAGATATGGGCTTAATATCTTCATCATCGAGGATGCCGATCTCTGTTCAGCAGAAGCGATATGGCGGAATACCAACAGCGGAGGCGACAGTGGCACCGTCGCCGCAGAAGGCGGATGATCTGTTTGGGCCGTTCAACAAGGAGTTCTTGCCAGGAATATAATTGCCGCCAGTGATCGATGGCCTGAGCAAGGCGTTGGATTACACGCTCCGAGCTTCGAATTTGTTCGACTAGTGTGTTGTCCGCGGCGAGCATCTGCGTTATCTTCGGATCACGATTTGTATCGATGATAGAATATTCTTCTTCATTCTAGAAGTTAGAGAGGGTGTTGAATGAACAAACATGCCACTTGTTTAGGGTTAGGTGAGATCTTGATAGAAAAGCAAATGCGTCTTTTAAAAATTATGATATTTTGTCATTAAAATCAATTAAATACTGATGGGTAATTTCGTCTTTTCAAATCATTTAAGGGCCTGTTTGGATAAAAATTGATCAAAATTTTGACAAGGGGTGTCATTGTTCAAAAAAGGCCAAACTTATATATGACTGTCATTATGACAAACTTCAGGGTGTCATTGTAATTAACCTTATTATTTAAATCGAGGTCGAAAACATATTTATTAGGACTCGGAGGGAGAAATATAAAAATATGTATTCAATTACTTGGTTGAATAATGAAATTCTCCCTACTACATATGGAGTATAAAGTGGTAACGTATTGCTAGCGCATTTCACACGCTAATCTCTCTCTTCCTCGTTCACATGACCTAATCTGAAGATTGCGGCGACGACGACGACGCAGATCTCAGACCACACCGCAACCAAAGCGTGGACAACTCCTTCCTTTACGATTGCAAGTAGTTGATTTCTAAGTAGGTTAGTGTATGTATCTCTCTTCAGTTTACGAATTTCTCTCTCGTCTTTCTCGCTCTCTCTCTCATATTTTCACGGTTCACTACTTTTTGTGTTCTGGCACGATTGAATTTTTAGAGAATTCTGGATAGGCACATTGATTTCTGAAACAACTTTGGTTCTTGAAGTCCGAATTCGAGTGTTATGGAGCATCCTATCGACGCCGAGTAGATCGATCGAAATTTCTTCGGTGGAAATATCTAGTCTGTTAATCGCTGTAACTTCCGTTTGAAACCAAGTATTCTGTTTGCTTATTCTCTCTCCTTTTCTTTGTCTTTTTCTCCATCACACAATCCCTAATTTTCTCTTAAAGCAACATCTCTATCTAACCTTCAAAGAATGAGAGTCATTGTGCTTAATTTGTAATCTTAGCCATCCAAAAACAGATTCCTCACTTGTCTTGAAGAAGTAACACCTTGTAGGGATCTTACCTGCGTTTTTCTTGTACAAGACTTGGAAAGAGATGTTCCTCGTATGGCAAATCTAGCTTCTTCTCTGACTTTAGAATCTATTTTGTCTCTCATTTCTTGTTGACAATGTGTTATTGATTGTTGGTTTCAAATTGTGATATATGATTTCTGTATGCATACATACGGTTTATAAACATTCTAGATTTTTAATCTTCTTTACTTTGGAAGGGGTAATTTGGTATTGGTTCAGTGTTTAATTATCATATAATGAAAATTTGTTCATTCATTCCTTCAATAAATTTCATAGACAAAAAGAAGGTGTTTATCAATCAATCTTATATATGAAAATAATTTGGTATTGGTTCATTATTTAATTTTCACATAATGAAAATTTAATTCAAGCTAATCTGTTTTATAATTCAGGTACATGCCAATTATACCAATGGTTCTAATCAATGGAACTGAAGTCATACTGATCGAAGATCGATCTTATATCCCAAAATATAATCCGATGGACATTGTTTCAAATTTGAGGTGTTTACTAAATGATAAACCAATGCAGCCCTAGTACAAAGGATTTAGAGGAAATATTAAGAAAGCTGCAGCAGATGGCTACACTATTGAAGGACTAATAGAGGAAGTCGATGCAATTACACTAAGGATTACAGAGCTACCTATTGGAGTATCGTGTCAAGATTATATAGACTTTCTGTGATCGATGACGACAGGGAATGATCCATTCATCAAGGTATTGCTTTATTCTTTATTGCTGGTATCAAAACTACAACTCACACAGTATCACACACACAAACCTCCCAATAGGAAGTTGACACCTTGAATTATCATGTGGGAGGAACAGATACAAGGCTCTGTTATTTTATTTTCTTATTCTTGGTACAAACACTCCCAACTCTCTCTCTCTCTCTCTCTCTCTCTCTATCTATCTCTCAGTCTCACTCCAACTTTCTCTCTCTCTTTTTCCCCTGAAGAGAGACCAATATTGGAACCTGAACACCTTGAATTATCATGTGCTAAGAGGCTCAGTAATATAAACAAAAAGCATACTGGAAATCGGAATAATTATAGCAAAGTTTTCATGTTATTGGATTACATAAAGCGCAATGCTGATGACACAACTGTAAATTTTGAAGTCATCTTACCTGCGGAGAACTTGAGCATGGCCAAGCATGAGGGTTTGCTTAAGAAATTTAAGCTTACTACTACGATCAAGGCAAGTAACATGCGCCTGTTCAACCGAGAAGGCATGATTAAGAAATATGACACCCCTATACAAAGTATGAAATTAATACCATAGGCTAATTTAGTTTATCCTTTATATTATAACTTTGCTTTATAGTAAATTCATTTCTTTTCTTCTGCAGTTCTTGAGGAATTCATTCCTATAAGAATTGAATTCTATGAGGAAAGGAAGGAAAGTGGTTTAAAAATGAAATTAAATTTTTGACATTTGAATTTCTTGTTTACTTTATGGACATGGCTGCTAACTAGAAAATAATTTTATGCAGAAGTATGTGTTATGCAATCTTGAAATGGAATTGTTGAAACTGGGAAAACAAAGTTAAGTATGTAACTGAAGTTCTAGAAGGGAAGATCAGTTTTTTCCAGGGGAACATTGATAGTCTGGTAATGCTGTTGAAAGCAAAAAAACTTTATGACTTTGGGGAAGATAACAAATACTCCTGAAGCAGCAGTTCCTGAAGAAGATTATGAATACATACTCAGAATGCCACTTCTGAGCTTTTCTAACGATGGGTATAAGGAGCTATGTTATACAAGAGATGTGCTTAAAAATCATGTTAATGATTTGAAAGATGAAACTCCGAAGTCTATGTGGTTGAAAGATCTTGGCAGTTTTGAGAAGTTACTTCTTGAGGGTGTGAAACCCAGTGCAGTTCCGAAGAATGCTTTTAAGAAGCAAAAGTTGTCAACTGTTGGTCCTCACCTCCGCCTCCACCAAGAAAGTAGTGGCAGTAATTATGGGCTAGTCCGACATTGAAGGTGTTGTCACTCTCACCCAAGAGCATAATGGTCGATTCTTCAGCTCTCTAATTAAATAGGTCTTATATTTTCTTGTTTTATTTTGTTATTATGTTTCTAAACTTATCAAATATTTATATGTTTTTGAGCTGAACTTATCAAATATTTTTATGTATCAAATATTTATATGTTTTTGAGCTGAACTTTTCAAGTCTCTTTGTGTATTTGAACTTTTCAAGTCTCTTTATGTTGTCCTCGTGTCTCCCAACGGTTTCATATTCTCTGGTGATCAATGGCAGTTCAGTGGGTTTCTTCCAGCCATCGCGTGGCTTGGGCCAAGGTAACCCTTTATTGCCGTATCTCTTTATCCTTTGTGCCGAGGTGCTTTCTTTGGCCCTCTAGCAAGCCCAACAGGCTAAGATACTGTCTGGGGTGCGGATTTGTTGAGGTGCTCCATCTATTTTTCATCTGTTTTTTGCAGATGACTCTATTGTATTTTTCCAGGCTTCTGAAATGGAGATTGGCTCGCTTAAGCATATTCTTTCTGCTTATGAGATGACTTTCGGATAAAAGGTGAATTTTGAAAAATCTGCCATTTTTTTTCCTCTAAGAATGCTCCTATGCAATTAAGGCGTACCTTGAGTCAGTTGTTGGGTCTGTCAGAGGATGGGTTTCAAACAAAATATCTAGGGATGCCACCGATAATTGGTCGGTCTAAATATGATGTGTTCAAGTTCTTGTTCCAACATATGCAAGATCGTTTAGCATCTTGGCAGCAACATGTTCTCTCAGATGCGGGTAAGGAAGTTTTAATTAAGGCAGTGTTGAATGCTCTACCAACATTTGTTATGTCTGCTTTCAGGTTACCTCGTGGGTTGTGTTTTGAGTTATTGAAGCAGGTGCGCTCTTTCTGGTGGCTGAAGTTTGGTAAATGCAACTCCATTCATTGGGCTCCTCGGGATCTCGTGCCAAATTAAAAAGGATGGTAGGTTGGGGTTTTGTGACATTGAAGCTTTTAATTTGGCTTTATTGGCTAAGCATGCTTGAAAATTTCAAGTGTCTAAGCAAGGGGTGGTTTATCATTTATTTAAAGTGAAATACTTTTCATCGTGTTCATTTGTTGATGCGAGACTTACAATCCATCCTGGGCTTGGCGTAGTATTTTGTCGGCGCAGGAATTGTTACGGCATGGTTTGCGTTCGGTGGTGGGTAATGAAAATCTATCCACATTTGGAAAGATAAATGGATCTCAGGTCTATCACTGCCTTTGGGGCCGAGGGTGGCTGAGTCGGGTTTTTCTTGGGTTGATGAGCTTATTGACAGTAATTGTAATGCGTGCCGCATGGATGTATTGCGACAATTATTTTCGTCCATGGAAATTCAGCGCATATCAAAGATTTCTTTATGTTATGGCCATTGGAGGATATTCAAATTTGGGACGTTAATGCTTCAGGTAGGTTTAGTGCTAAACCTGCATATCAGTTAGCCGTGTCTCTTGCTTCCTAGAATCCGCAGAGGAGGACATGAGCAGTTGGAACACGGGTGTCGGGATAGTTATGGAGTAAGCTGTGGAGTTTTTCTTTACCTTCTAAAATCAAACACTTTATTTGGAAATGTTGTTATGGAGCTATTCCAACAGGGTATACGTTAGTCCACCGAGACTACTTGTAAGATCCGGTGTCTCCGAGGTGTGGGCTGGAGGTTGAGGATATTGCTCATCTATTTTTTAGATGTTCTCACTCTGTTCAAGTATGGAAGTTATCTCCACTTCGTTGGGATTTTTCTCAACATTCTCCTCTTTATTTTGTTGAATGGTGGGATAGAATTTCGAGTGATGTTTTACATTCAATGGAAAATAAATGTGTTATGATTGGGTTGGCTTCTTTTTGTATTTGGATGATTTGGAAGGCTAAAAATCATTTGGTTTTTGCAAGTGAAGTGTGGGATCCTCTTTTGGTGGCTAATTTGGCTGCAGCTCGTTTTTTGGAATTTTTTAAAAGTGCAGCAAAAATGTAAGCAGCTAATGTCTCCGTTGAATTCTATCTTGTCCTCAACAGTTGGAGTCGTTCGTTGCTGAACATGATCAAATGTAACGTGGATGTCAGCTTTTCCAAATCTTCTTTGTTAAGGGGTGGAGGGGCGGTTTATAGAAAGTCAGATGGCTCTATTATCCAAGCTGTGATCTTTAAGCCGTATTCCTCCTCATCTATGTTTGAGGCTGAGACTTTTGCTTTTTGTCGAGCTATTTAATGGGCTAAAGTCTTTAATTTTCAGGCGGTCTGTTTTGAGTCGGATGCTAAAGTGGTGGTGGAGGCTTTGCCAGGAGTTCGCTCTGTCGGGGGTGAGGTAGCTTCTTTAATGGCTGTTGTGCAACAAAAGCTTAAATCTTTTCATACATTCTCCATTGTTCATGTGCGAAGGGAGGGTAATATGGCTGCCCATGCTTTGGCTTCTTTATCGACTGCTGATATAGATGTCGATTTGGTGCTTAGTTCCATGCCATCATCATTTCTTTGCATTGTGGAGGCGGATGTTGCTATTTGAGTTTTTTTTTTTTTTGGGGGCCTTTGAGGGTCCATAATCTTCAAATAATTAGGAATATGGCTGGCTTGTATGGTATGACAGAGATAGTCTGTGCATTCAAATGTTGTTTGGGTTGTTTTTCTTTTTCTTCTATTGTTTATGCAGTTTTTAGGCAACCTAAGAAGCACAGATACGGGTACGATACAGACATGAGATACGATAAATCTAAAAAAAAAAAAAAAAAATAGAGGGATACCGGTACGGTGGGATGTGTCAATTTTTTTAAAAAAATATTAATATTTTATATACAAATATTGTGAATCTAAATGCACTAATTCACCTATTTATAAATACAGAAAAAGAAAATCCCCAACCCTGAAATCTTAAAAAAGTAAAAAAGTGCAAAAAAATAAAAAAATAAAAAAAAAATAAAAAGAAGAAGAAGAAGAAGAAGATAAGCAAATAAGCATATTGTCGCGAATCTGGGGATAAGTTAGGTATTTAAAATGCAATTTGTTGCACTATAACTCGACCTCTATCTTTTAACCTACAAAATTTTAAATATTACAATATGAACTTATGTGTTTTAAATGCAATTTTGTTTTTATTATAACTTAATTCCATTTTTAACCTACAACTTTTTAAATATTACAATATGAACCCCGACATATCCCAAAAGTATTCAAGGCTTATACCCGCGTATCCTAGGTATGATATCCCTCGATTCTGGAACCCGGATAGATCAAGTTTGTGTACGAGACCGAGGGAAGTATTAAGTAATTAATATTTTAAATCGAACACATAATTCAAAAAGATAAATAAAGAAATAATTGTTGATGAAATAATAAATAATAAATCTGCTCTAATTAAAATCCATTAATCCTCAAAGATAAATACTAAAATCCCAATAGAATAATTCTCCAAAAGAATATAACTCGGGAATCCTGGACCTCTAATAATCCCATAACTGAAATAAAATATAATTTTCTAAAACTGAATTAAATAAACATAAAGGGGGAATCTTACGTCGATGACACCAGAAGAATGATGAAGTCAAGTCTCTGATCTGCACGAGCAATTGCTAATCCTGATATTGACAAGGACCTGAAAAAATATAACAATGGTGGGTCAAAACCCACAACAAGTCATTTCTACGACAATCCAAACAGAGACTTGAAAAAACTACACATCTATAGCTAACTCATGTATTAGTTACATAGTCGATAAGTACATAAATATATACACTAAAGACTCTCACTGGACTAAGGAAGACTCAACCGTGTAGTTAGTATCTCATACAAATCGTACACAGAAGTGGTCACGATTCCTCCTTTTACTAAGGCACTCACATCCCTAAATCCAGCTACCTATCTCAACTAGCAATATACGCCTCCGTCCTAACCACTGATCACAAGACCTCAAACTTATATCATGGTACACATAATATCATTATTGATATAACCAACCATATCCTGACAATGTTATACAAACAACAACCATGCTTATATCCTAACAATGGGTTAAAAAATTATATAAAAATATATTATAATAGCCATATTCTAACAATGACATGTCATCCATATCTTGACAATGGTATGACATAGAACCATATCCTGACAATGTTACTCAAATAATCCAAACACACACACAGATATATATATATATATATATATATATATATATATATATATATATATATAAAACAGTAAATAACATACAATATCATGTTATTAAATCACAGGAATAACTTACAATTATTTTAAGCTTCTTATATAATTTATCTCCACACAATCTGAACCCTAACCATGATGATATTTTATATATACAGCCAATTAAGAGTTCCACAAACATAACTCATGCTAAATATTTAAATCTCACAAGTTAAAACAAGTTATTAGTGTTGGGATTTATATGCCCTGGCATAGCAAATTCCTATTTGGATTAAAGTAACATATGTTCCTGACGTATCAGAAATATTTATGCTTTATACAATTGGTGAAGTCAATGTATTATGTTTCGATTCATTATGGAATTGATAGTGTCCACTTGATTACAAGAGATATTTATATAAGTATGTGATGGCGATCAATACATGAATATAAATAGTAATCAATCATAAATTGTTCATAGTCGATAATTATGGATGGACTCGTAATTAATTAAGACTTGAACTGAATCCACGTTAGGTTGAAATATATTGCGAGAGCCGTTGTATGCAATTGTTCCCTATCACTGTCATGGTATTTGACTCTTAAGCATGAGAGAAGTATAGACTCTTTTATTAATTAGTAATTACTTTGATTTGCTCGTTGGAATCTTCGAAATCCTTAGATCGACACTTTAGGTAATTATGTAATTAATAGTTAGAGGGTTATATTTTCAATATTTGCATCATTGTTGATTGTATTTATTTTATATTGATTATGGTTGATCACAAAGTAAATTCGAAGGCCTTCGTGTGTTTTTAGACAAAATGATTTATTATATTTATTTATTTAAATAATTATTTTTGTCAAACAAATGTTTTATTATAATCAAACGAGAAATAATCAAAGGGACCAAAATAAATATATTAATTAAGTAATTGGATTAATGACTTTATTTATCCAATAACTAATTATGCATAGAGGGGTCAAAGTGCAACATTGTCTTAGAGGTTATTTATTATTTAATTGAAATTCAATTAATTTCTTTTAGTGGAGTAGAAATTAATTAATTAATTTATTTAATTGGTTCCATGGACCGGATCAATTATTAATTCATTGTAGTCAAGAAAATAATAAGCCCAATATGATTCTCACTCATAGCCCAACTTGATATTGGAATCCTATTAGATTTGAGATATGTGAATTAGAGATTAAAAAAGATTTATTGTTTCATTTTCTTATTTTTATGTTGCTTATATATAAATGGGTTCATGTATATTTTAGGAGAGACTTTTGGAAAAGAAAAAGGAATATATTTTTTCTCTCTCTAGATTTTAGGGTTTGCTTTTTCATCTAATGGATGCTCCCACAAGCCTAATTTTCCAAGGTCATTCATGGAGGCTTATGAGTGATTTCTAAAGGCAAGACCATTATCAAGAAGATGGAGATCCAAAGAGAAAACATCTAGTAAAGGGATTTGCAATAAGTGAGAACATTCACTTTAGATGAGAGATCTAAAGTTTACTCAAACCTTGGTATAAGTATTCAATCTATTAATTGAATGATACATTATATTTTATTTTTGCATAAAACTTGTCTCTATGTGATGAATCAAGATCTATGTATGAAAATTCCTCAGAAAGTTTTTAAAATTTGCACATTTCCAACAGTGGTATCAAAGCATGATTTGATTCATTACTAGAGCTCATGTTTTTATGAAAATCATCATTCATGGATCCAATTTATATGTGCATATATATATATATATATATATATATATATTGATGTATGATGATGTATGTATAATTGTGTATGGATGATGATGTATGTTTGGCCACGGATGAAGCTTATAGGTTAATTAAATGTAATTTTATCTTTGGATGAATGTAATTAAGGCATTGATTTAGCCATTTGAAAGTTCAATGATGTAATTTAATTTTTTTTTTTATTATATTTCAAATGTAAATATTTTTTAAAGCCATGTAATCTTCATCAAAAGATACTCCGAGGTCAAAAATCCTTAAAACTGGGGAAAACGATCGGGAGGAAATCCTAGGAGTACATGACTCGACGAAAAGTGAAAATGAATCCCGTATAAGGATCCAGGCTCAAAACAAGGTATTTTTGCAATAACTTTCATTAATTGCACAATGGCCCCTCCAAAAAAGGTTAACTGCACTAATGACCCAGAATGAAAATATCTTCCAAAAATATTTTCTTAAAAACCCCTAAAATAAAATATCTTCAAAAGATATTTATGAAAAACACCCCAAGAAAAGAAAAAGTTTCTGAAGAACTATGTATCCATACCCCTATGGACACCAGGAGCAACCAGAGTACTTTTCTACAAAAGTAAAGATACGTATTTCATGAAAACCACTTAGAATGAAGGTATGTGAAGTCAAAATCCAACTCCGAGTATGAAAAGTGAGGTTGTGAAAAAAGTGACAAATGGGGAAAAGACAAAACAGGGAAAAGGACGAAAAGTGAATAGTGTCCAAAAAGTGAAAATGCGAAAATGACTCGACCCTTAAAGGAAGTTGTCAATCCAAATGAAAGAGTCTTGAAAACCATTTCCAAAGCACTTGAGACCACACCCAGTGACAAGAAACATAACTCAGAAAAGAAAATTAAACGAAAAAAATTTATCCGTAAAATTTGAGAAAAAAAAAAAGGAAGGAAAATGGCCAGGTCATTACAACCTACCTTCCTTAAAAGAATTTCATCCCCGAAATTAAGAACATATTGAAAAAGAACAGAACAAGGACCGAACAAAAGAACAAATCAAAGGACAGCTTAAAAGGCACCGAAGGACAACTCCAGAAGTCTCAAGATCAACTGAAGAAACGTGAAACCACGAACCGAGACAACACCTCAAACGAATCGGCACATTAACTCAACGTCAACCACCGAGAGAATCCCAAGACAACGAAATGTTGAAACACGACAAAAGAAGAGAGTAACAAGGCAGTACGAACAACGACCAGAACCCGCCCACACTTACTCGTCTGTAAGGTAGCTTGACAGTATAAGGCACTAGTTCATAACATGCCCCCAACAAGTCAACCCAGAAAGAAACCTTTTGATATGAAGACATCAACGTTGAAAATGATCATTACCAAAAGCACTACAGAAACTAGGTATTGGGGAGCTAATCCCAAAACTCTAACAACAATGTCATAGGCACCGCTACGCTTAAGGCCTTAGATCTTCAGTGCAAGTAGAGCCAGCAGCTCCTACACTGAAAAACACCCTTGACACTCCCCGACCACGTCGTGAAGCCATGAAGGAAAAAGAAATGAAACAGTGCCTCCTTGGCCCGCGTCTCACTCTACCAGACAAGGACTGCGATTCTATAAGCCTTACTCGCATCAACCGTTAGACTAAGGTCTCGAAACATCCAACCAACAAAACAGACAAGCAGGTTCCCATCATGGGTCCTTACAGAATGAATTTCTCCTATCCAAGGAGGAGCTTTGTAAAACAAGAATACACCCAAGGGATACGATAGACCTAAAGAGATAATGTCA